CTATTTGTTCCGGCTTATCTTCTTACCTAATTGGATTTACCTATTACTTTAAAGTGCTTTTTACTACAGCTGCTTTTATAATAGCTTCAATGAACGGATTGCATTTTTATTCAACTGTGTGGTGTTTAAAGTCAGAGGGCTTTCCTGGTCTGGAGTGCAACACAGAGGCTGATGGTTTAACTGATGATTTAGAGAGGAGCTTTCCTGTTAACGATTCAAAGAGGATTGTCCTCAAGTCTGGGAAATGATGGTTCTCTCTGTGAGAAAACCACCTCAGAAATTGCAGGATCTCAAGGGCATTCAGGGGGGTCAGAAGTAGCAACAGCAGATAAGGAATCAAGTGAAGAGTTGATAAGATGGGTTCCTATGGGAACTCACCTGCAGCTACGGAGATCAGCAAAAGTCTTTGTTTACAAATCAGAGCTGAAAATAGATTGCATTGTTCAGAGAGATTATGTGGGAAAGTTGTGAAAGAAATTAACGGGAAACTGAATGCTTTCATGTATGTCTATTAAGCAATAAGTTATTTACCTTAAGATCAGTTCAGGCAACACTGCGTTTGAGTGAGAAACTAAGTCCGAGTTCTCTTGTTCCTGGTTCAAATCAAGCTTTGATTTAATATATCCTGGAAGTTTTCTATCTTCCTGTTCGTGTACTTCTGTTCAAGTCTTACTAGTATATTTTCCTGATTGTGTACTTATGCCGTATCTGTGATACCTGGCTATTCCTGGACTTTGTCACCTTTAGAACTTTATGAGACATTTGGATTATTGTTTGGTTCTCATCTTCTGCTAATCCTTTTTGGGTTATATATCTTTCTTTCATATTCCTGATGTTTTATATGCTATACAATAAACTGTTTGCTTATATTCCTGGACTCTTGTGTGGTGTGGTGGTCATAAGTGTTTCTAGGCCTGGAGTGCAACATCAGCTCTAGTACTAATAATTTTCTTTTATGACAAAGTTTTGCAGGAGATAGCCAAAATGCTAGTGATAACTGTTTTATGAGCATAATTATAATTTTCTACTCCTGGATTTGCTCTTATCTAATTATTCTGCAAACCATACATCTGGTTGTGGATGCCCACAAGTCACAATCTTGATGTCCATTCATTCTCCGAGCAGCGTGGAAAGGAGCTTGCAACCCATGGCATCTTATGCTGGAATATATTAGTCTTAAATGAGAATTAATGCAAGATGACACTCCTTGAATTGCCAAGTCGGATCTGGCCACGGTGGTCCACGCTCTTGTTACATCCCGGATAGATTACTGCAACGCACTCTACGTGGGGTTGCCTTTGAAGACTGTTCGGAAACTTCAATTAGTCCAGCGGGAGGTAGCCAGATTGCTCACCAGAGCGTCATACAGGGAGCATATCACCCCCCTGTTGTGTCAGCTCCACTGGCTGCCGATCCAGTTCCGAGCACAATTCAAAGTGCTGGTTTTGACCTACAAAACCCTATACGGTTCCGGCCCAGCGCATCTGTCCAAACGCATCTCCCTCTACGTCCTACCTCGGAGTCTGAGATCCTCTGGGGAGGCCCTGCTCTCAGCCCCGCCTCTGTCACAAGTGAGATTGGCGGGGACGAGGAGCAGGGCCTTCTCAGTGGTGGCTCCTCACCTATGGAATTCACTCCCCGGGGAAATTAGATCAGCAACATCCCTCCTTTCCTTCAGAAAGAAAGTAACAACATGGATGTGGGACCAGGCGTTTGGGCAATCTGGCAGATGAATAAAGGACTGTGACGATGGATAGGAATGGACAACGTGGAACGAAATATGGACTCTGAGTTGGCGAACGCTGTGTCTGAGATTGGCTATCGATTGTGAGATATATTGTTGTTTTAATTGTTTTAACTGTTGACCATTTAATTGCTGTTTTTATATGTTATTGTATTTGTGTGGGCGTCAAGATGTGCCTTTTTGCAAGCCGCCCTGAGTCCCCCCTCAGGGGTTGAGAAGGGCGGGGTAGAAGTATACGAAATAATAATAAAAATAAGCTTGCAAAACTACAACTCCCAGGATTCCATAGCATTGAGCCATGGTTGCGAAAAGGAGCCCAACCGCAGGAATCGAGAATGTAATCCACCGTGCGCGGCGTTGGACATCCTAGCAGGCGGGAAAACACCACAGCGCATGGGCAAACAGGGAGAGCCCCAGGAAAAGGTAAGACGCCACAATACCCGGAAGGGGAGGGAAAGAAGGAGTGGGGCAGAGCAGGGCAAAAATGGCTGTGGAGGACTCGGAGACCCGCCAGGCTATGGGAGGAAAGGGAAAAGGGAACGGGCGCGGCGCGGAACGAGCGGCCAAGCACGGGCAAAGGCCAGCGTGGGGCAGGGGACCGCACGGGCGGCACGGGGGCTCTCGAGGCACAAAGGGGAGCACCCAGCACGGCACCCGAAACACAGGGACACGTGCCCCCTACTCGAAGGCGGCGGGGGGCGCGAACGCGACGCGAAGGGCGCTGGAGAGAACACCGACCCGGACGCCTGGCTCGAGGTGGGGGGGGGATGATTGGAGTGAGGTAGTGCGGGCCGGGGACCGCCAGCGCACCCGAGGGGCACTCGGGCGGGGACAACAACAGAGAAGAAAAAGCACGCATACAACCAAACGAGACGAAACGAGACGAGACGAAGCCGGCGGCGAATCCGGGGCAGAGCAAAAGGCGGGCAGAGCCAGGAAAGCGGGCCACAAGCCCTAGGGAGGACGGCCGACGCACCAGGCAGGAGCCGGCGAAGCAGCGAAAGGCGCCGGGAAGGCAGGAGGGAGGTGCCAAACCGGGGCCACCACAGAAAGGCCCTGTCCCTCGCCCCGCCAACCGTGCCTGGGAGGCCGGCGGAACCGAGAAGGCCGCCCCGGATGATCTCAGGCCCGCTGGGCTCGGACCGAGATGCTCGCAGGTATTGGGGCCGAACGTTGAGGGCGTGTATGCTAACACCAGCACCTGAATTGGGCCCGGAGCAATCGGCAGCCAGGGTTGGACATGGAATGATGGGAGATTCTGAACATGAGGAAGAACTTCCTGACTGTGAGAGCCGTTCAGCAGTGGAACTCTCTGCCCCGGAGTGTGGTGGAGGCTCCTTCTTTGGAAGCTTTTAAACAGAGGCTGGATGGCCATCTGCCAGGGGTGATTTGAATGCAATATTCCTGCTTCTTGGCAGAATGGGGTTGGACTGGATGGCCCAGGAGGTCCGAATCATAGAATTGGAAGAGACCTCATGGGCCATCCAGTCCAACCCCCTGCCAAGCAGGAATATTGCATTCAAATCACCCCTGACAGATGGCCATCCAGCCTCTGTTTCAAAGCTTCCAAAGAAGGAGCCTCCACCACACTCCGGGGCAGAGAGTTCCACTGCTGAACGGCTCTCACAGTCAGGAAGTTCTTCCTCATGTTGGAATCTCCTCTCTTGTAGTTTGAAGACATTGTTCCATTGCATCCTAGTCTCCAGGGAAGCAGAAAGGAAGCTTGCTCCCTCCTCCGTGTGGCTTCCTCTCACATATTTATACATGGCTATATACATGGCTATCATTGGAGAGTTGGGAGAGATCACAAGGGCCACCCAGCCCAACCCTTTTCTGTCAGGCAGGGAAAGAACAATCAAATCCTTCCAGATAGAGGGTCATCCAGCCTCTGTTTAAAAACCTCAAAAGAAGGAGACTCTACCATGCAAAGAGACAGAATGGGGGACACGTGGCTTGAGGACGTGTGAAAAAGATCTTGGAGACCTTGTAGACAACAAGGTGAACATGAGCCAACAATGTGATGCAGTAGCAAAAAAAGCCAATGGGATTTTGGCTTGCATCAAGAGGAGCCTAGTGTCTAGATCTAGGGAAGTCCTGCTACCCCTCTATTCCGCTTTGGTTAGAGTGGTCCAGCATTTCTGTGTTCTCAAATAATAAGCTATGCCCAGGTTGGTTCATACCATGCAGCTGTAGACAAGTCTACATAGGGACCACCAAACACAGCGTTGCCCAAACACGAATCAAGGAACATGAAAGGCACTGCAGACTCCTTCAACCAGAGAAGTCAGCCATAGCAGAGCACCTGATGAACCAACCTGGACACAGCATATTATTTGAGAACACAGAAATGCTGGACCACTCTCACAACCACCATGTCAGGCTACACAGAGAAACCATTGAAATACACAAGTATGTGGACAATTTCAACAGAAAGGAGGAAACCATGAAAATGAACAAAATCTGGCTACCAGTATTAAAAAAAAACCTCTAAAATTACAACAGCAAACAACAGAGAGGAAACAAACAAGGACATCTAATCACCTCTCAACAAAAGATTGCCCCAGGCACTGCCAGGCCATCAAATGCTAATCAAGGTGGTCAGTTGAAACATTCACACCTAGCTCCAGCAGACAAGAGTCCTTTGTCTCACCCTTGGTCATTCCACAGATATATAAACCCCTTTTCCTAGTTCCAACAGATCTCAATACCTCTGAGGATGCTTGCCATAGATGCAGGCAAAACGTCAGGAGAGAATGCCTCTAGACCATGGCCATATAGCCCAAAAAAACCTACAACAACCCAGTGATTCCAGCCATGAAAGCCTTCGACAAGTAGATAGAATCATAGAATCCTAGAGTTGGAAGAGACCTCATGGGCCCATCCAGTCCAACCCCATTCTGCCAAGAAGCAGGAATATTGCATTCAAAGCACCCTGACAGATGGCCATCCAGCCTCTGTTTCAAAGCCTCCAAAGAAGGAGCCTCCACCACACTCCAAGGCAGAGAGTTCCACTGCTAAATAGCTCTCACAGTCAGGAAGTTCTTCCTAATGTTCAGATGATTTCAATATTATATGTTTCTATATTATATTTTACTAAAGGAGTACCAAACTGGATTCATTCCACAGCACAGAGGCAGCCAGTGACTACCCTTCACCTCCCAGGTATGGGAAGGAATGAAAAATTTCATGAGTCCACTGCTCTCAAGGCAAGGCTCTGCAGGCATGGTTCACCTTCAAAGCCTTTGCTTCCTTCTCCTTAGAGAACTAGATTTTGGAAATGTTCCTCACCATCAACTGGCATCAAGCCCACACAGAACTCCTTCTCCCCATCAGCGTTGGGTTCTGCGGGTCCCCAGGACATGTGCCGGACGGGGCTTTTGTCGCTCCAAACGAACTGTCGCTTCTGTAGAGAGAACAGGAAAGGTTGGTCTGAGCTAAAACACAAGGTAGATTTAGTGCACTTTGACACTGTAGAATTAACCCCCCTGGAATGCCAGGAGTTGTGGCTTGGTGAGGCACCATCACTCTTCGGCAGAAAAGACCAAAGACCCTTTAAAGCTATAACTCCTGCGATTCAGTAGCATTGAGCAATGGCAGTTAAAGTAGTTTCAAACTGCATCAATTCTGCAATGTAGATGCACCCTTCATCAGCTGGGAAACCCAGGGATGAGGCATACGAAGGCTCTGAAGCCTCTTTCACACGATTCTTAGTGCTCAGAGGTGACACTCTTCATAAATTCTCAGCCTGAAATAATGTCTGTTTACAGTACGTGCTCTCTGTATGCCCAATGGGACGCCGGGGTGCCTCAGCTGAAGGGCCCTTTAGATTTCCCAACACAAAGTTCTATTGAGGCTCAAGATAAGTTCAACAAAGTTCTTTATTTGGGCTTAATTCTTCAAACAAATGAATTGAACACTTCATAACTTTGGAAAACCAGTAGCTTCCTCAATCTGCCAACAAGGGGCAGGCAACTGGTGGTAAACTGTTCCTTTCTTCCTTAGGGAAATCCTTTGACCCCTCCCTGGGCAATCTCTCTTTGCCTTGTTGGCGTGAGACCCCTACTCCCGGCTCCAAGCTGCTTTATGGATAGCCCAAGTGGTCCCTTACCAATCAAGGTTCCTGTAGATCTGCCAAGCTGAAAGGTGTCCTTTAGTTTCTCCACGAAGGCTGTAGGAACTATTTCTTTACTCCTCAGCAGAGCTGTGGATCTATCTCTTTAACCCCCAGCAAAAGCTGTGAGAAGTGAAGCCTTTGTGCAGGTGGGAGACAGAGACCCACACATCCTGCTGTTAGGCTCCAAAACAGTGAGACTGTTCTGGTACGGCTGTATAGGAGCTCCAACTTTATTTGCTTTGTATTAAATGTTTGTTTGCAGTCCTAAGTTTCAGGGACTATGCAGATAGGTGGCTTCCTTTGGTTGCAGTCATAGGGCAAGTGACCTGTCCATCATCATTAAGTTTTGATCCCGCCCCTTGCTCAGGGCAATTGGGAAGGGAAGGGAGCCATTTTTAGTTAGTCTCAGCAAGGAAAGCTAATGTACAGGACGTGTGCAAGCTTCCCCTGTACAAAAGCTTCAACCCTTAAGACTTTCCGGGGGAAAACAGTCTTAAGAGAAAACCAGAAAGCTCCAGGGAAGCCTCCCCAAAGCTTTGAGGACTTTCCGGGGGAAAATAGTCTTAAGAGCATCTAAGACCTTCCAGGGGAGAACAGTCTTAAGAGTCTCCAAAAATTTCCAGAGAAACAGCCCTAAAAACCGAAGAACTCCAGCTGGAGAACATCTAAGCCTTTACTGGTAGGTCCACTCGGCGTTCGAGAAGCAGTTTGACCCGGTAGCGGAGCCCACATCAGTAATGGTTAGATTACAGTCAGCCTGGGAGAAGTTAAAAAGGGGACTTTCCTTTAAAGTAAAGAAGAAGTTATAGAAGACAGTTGCCTGCCCTTCGTGGGCAAGATTAGGAAGCCACCAGTTGCATAAAGCCTGGAAGCATTTGTTTAGCTTTATTGAAGACAAGAGAAGTTTCTGTTTGATTGTTCATTAATAAAAGACTTCGTTATACTTCACAAGCCATCTAAAGATTATTTGTGGTGGAAAACCTCTGAGAACTTCTCCTTGGGCCTCCTGGCTTCCCGCTGGGCAAAGGTTACACGTCCTGTTCTAAAGACAATTATTTACAGGCCCAGCAAGCGATAGAACAGAGACTGAACAAAGGTCCTCCTTTGCCTCCAAAACCCTGGGAAAAGGGGCGGGTCTAAAGATTCTAACGATGATTGCCAAGTTGTTGGCCCTATGATTGCAACCTGAGGGAAGCTACCTTATTGCAAAATGCATAGCTTAAATAGATTCATGCAAACTAGCAGTGCAAGAAAAAGAGGTCAAAATCTCCTGGCACTACCGTGCCAGCACAAATTCCATTCTATTCTTGCAAGGAGCGAACATTGCTCTAATTTTTTCTGCTGGTTGGGAGGCAATAATGGGAAAAGAGGTTGTTTTAAAAGACGGTGTGCAAGAAAATTAAGAAAAAATGGCATTTCCTGTACAAAAAAAATTCTTCACAAAAAGGACGAGTTCCAGAGAATTTTTTGGACAGAAAAAAATAACCATTCTGGGTAGAAAATAGGTCTCCTTGATTTAATGAACATTTAATGAACATTAACAACAAAACTAAATGAGGCGGAATATAAATTGAAACAAGATCCAAGAAACTCAAAACTGATATTCAAAATCGAAACATTACACAGGAAGAGGATAGAATTAGAAACTGAACATATGGCGAAAAAGCTGAAATATGCGAAACAATCACATTTCTACAACGCAAACAAAGTAGGAACTTGGTTGGCAAGGAGGATTGGAAGAATGAAACAAAAGCAATTTATCACAAAAATCATCATAGACAAAACAGAATATATGAAGGATAAAGATATAATAAAACAGTTTAATGATTACTATGGAGCACTATACTCAAAAGGGGAAACTAGGATGGACGAAATCACGCACTACTTGGGAGAACAAAAGCTAAAGAAGATCTCCAAAAGAACATAGAGAAAATTTGAACAAAGAGATAACGAACCAAGAAATCCAAAACGCGATTAAGAAATTAGATGCCTCAAAAACACCGGGACCAGATGGGTTCACAGCCATTTTCTATAAGACATATGATAAAGAATTAACACCAAAATTGAAGAGACTAATAAATCAGGCACTGGAAACGCAAAAAATCCCAAACACATGGAAACAAGCAAAAATAACGATGATCCACAAAGAAGGGACAGATAAAACAGAGGTAAAAAATTACCAGCCTATATCATATAATGTTGACTACAAAATTTATGTAAGCATAATTGCCCAAAGACTGAAACAATTTCTCAAAGAGTGGACTGAAGAAGAGCAAGCCGGCTTTCTCCCCCACCACCAAATTAAGGACAACGTTAGAACAATTGTGAACATTATAGAATATTATGAAAAAAATATAGACAAAGAGTGTGCATTGCTCGCATTGGATGCCGAAAAGGCTTTTGACCGAATCAACTGGGAGTTCTTCTTAGCCTTGTTGAAAGAAATAGATATGGGGTACCACTTCATCAACTCAATAAAAGCAATATACAATACCCAGGAAGCCAAAATATGTGTTAATGGAGGTACAACAGAAAATATAAAAATACAAAAAGGCACTCGACAAGGATGTCCATTGTCCCCATTGCTCTTTATAATGACACTCAAGATACTCCTAAATAACATCAGAAAGGATAATACACTTAAAGGAACGAGAATAAGAAAACACTCCTATAAGTTAAGAGCATTTGTGGACGATGTAGTTTGTATGATAGAGGATCCAATACAAAACCTAGAAAAGTGGATGAACAAAATTGAAGAATTTAGCGCGCTGGCAGGATTTAAAATAAACAAAAACAAAACAAAACTGTTAACAAAAAATATAACGAAAGAACGTCCAAAAATATTAGAAGAAAAAAGCGGGATACAAGTGTTTGAGAAAATAAAGTATCTGGGTATAACCTTAACTGCAAAAAAATCACATTTATTGAAGAACAACTACAACGTAAAGTGGAAAGAAATTAGCAACGAGATGGCGAAATGGAAACATCTAAATCTCTCTATGTTAGGGAAAATTTCAGCCATTAAAATGATGGTATTGCCAAAACTCCTCTTATTCCAAACTATCCCAATAATCAGGAACATACAAGTAATTAAAAACTGGAATAAAAAAATTACGAGATTCATATGGAGAGGAAAGAAACCCAGAATAAAATTCAAAAGCTTGATTGACAACAAAGAAGAAGGCAGATTAGGACTCCCAGATCTACAAACATAGCACGATGCATGTGGCCTTACCTGGGTAAAAGAATGGGCTAACATAAATAAACCAAAAATTTTGGCGCTAGAAGGACACGATCTGCACAGCGGCTGCACGCATACCTCTGGTATGCCAAAAGGAAAATAGAAAAGAATTTCGGCAATCATTTTGTTAGATCTTTGCTAATCAAAATTTGGGAGAAATATAAAAACAATTTTTTATCAAAAAACGCCTCTATGGATCTCCCCGTTAGAGGCATCACAAAGAAGAGAGTTTGGATGGGAAAACTGGCCTAAATACAAGGACATCTTGAAAAAAGACAGAGAGGGATTCAAGTTAAAGACACTGGAAGAGATCAAAACAACGTACGGAGAGATCTCATGGTTCCAACATAGGTAAATGAGTGAAGCCTTCAACAAAGATAAAATAGAAGGATTTGAAAACAGAGAAAAACACTGGGAAAGGATTATGGCAACCGAGAAAAAAGGAATTACCAAACTATATAAAATTCTGCTAAATAGGAAAATGGAAAAAAAATAATATAAATAGTAGGCTTGGGTAACCACGGAAAAATTTGGTTCTAAACTCATTTCGTTTTTAGGGGGCTCTTGCGTTTCGTTTTTTAAAAGAATTCCGAAATTTTCCTTTAAAAAAGTTCGAAATATACGAAATTTCGTAAAATTACGAATCGATTCGTTAATGGCGGACGCAATTGCGCAATATGCTAAAAAAAACCCTCCAAATGGGACAGGGGGAACTTCTGAAGCTTCCCTCTCCCTCTGTGGTTGACTGTTGGTGTGATAATTTATTTTTTATCACTGATAAAACAAACAACAACTATAAAACTTGCACCAGACATACGGAAATAATTACGAAACAATTACGAAACAATTTCGAAACAATACGAAATAAATTGGAAAAATTGTTTCAATTTTTAATTACTCCTCACAGTAGTCCTGCATGGCTCAATATTGGATCGTAAGCTAATTTAAATACGAATTAATAACGAATTACGAAATTAACGAACAAAACCGCCCAAGCCTAATGCCTACATGTTCTTTTCCAAATGCCTTCTTCCATTATGTCCATCTCTGAATCGTGACATACTCACATGTGTTGTGTAACTTGCTCTGTCGTCTTGCAATCCTATCCAGATATTATTACCAAACCTATAATTCTTGAAAATATATGATCCGACGAGTTTTGTCTCTTCCTGATCATGAATTGAAGCCAGATGCCCACTTGGTCCAAACTTCTGGCATTCCGCCTGAGAGGAAAAAGAGAAGAGCAGGGAAATGAGGTTTCCTACTTGCCTCCAACTGACTGGCCAAACCCCGAAAGTGCTTCTGCCCAATGGCTCCCCTTTCTTCTTCCTCCTGGAGAGGAGTGGCTATTTGGATGGAGGCATAAAGGCATAACATTAAAATTTGTGCGCTAGCTGCGCCCGAATCTTGGGAGGTCTGACAGTGACTTGGCCACAGTGGTCCACGCTCTGGTTACATCCCGAATAGGTTACTGCAATGCACTCTATGTGGGGTTGTCTCTGAAGTCTGCTCAGAAGCTCCTGCTAGACCAACGCTTGGCAGCCAGGCTGCTCAATGGTCGAATACAGGGAGCAGACAACTCCCTTGTTACGCCAGCTCCACTGGCTGCCTATTCACTTCCAGGCTTGATTCAATGTGCTGGTGTTAACCTATAAAACCCTACATGGTTCCGGCCCAGTTTACCCTGTCCGAACGTATCTCCCTCTACAAACTATCTAGGACCTTAAGATCATCCGGGAGGCCCTGCTCTTGGTCCCACTACCATCACAGTCACATTTGGTGGGGAGGAGAGACAGGGCCTTCTCTGTGGTGGCCCCTCGGCTGTGGATCTCCCTCCCTTATGAGATTAGATCTGCCTCATCAGTCCTGATCTTCTGGAAGAAACTCATCTCTTTGCTGTGGGATCAATCATTTGCAGAATAGACTGATTTACTGGTGAAGATAAGGTTTTAGTGGACCGCAATGGACTGCTTTGGTTGACAATTTCAATTCTGGAGATTTTAATGCTTATTTTGTTTTGTTATTTTATTTTTTATATCTGTGGAATAAACGAAATGCAAAGATACAGAATGGGGGATGATGCCTGGCTCGAGAGCAGTACATGTGAAAAAGATCTTGGAGTCCTTGTGGACAACAAGTTAAACATGAGCCAACAATGTGATGTGGGCAAAAAAAGCCAATGGGATTTTGGCCTGCATCAATAGGAGCATAGTGTCTAGATCTAGGGAAGTCATGCTCCCCATGCTCTATTCCGCTTTGGTTAGATCACACCTGGAATACTGTCTCCAATTCTGGGCACCACAATTCAAGAGAGATATTGACAAGCTGGAATGTGTCCAGAGGAGGGCGACTAAAATGATCAAGGGTCTGGAGAACAAGCCCTATGAGGAGCGGCTTAAGGAGCTGGGCATGTTTAGCCTGAAGAAGAGAAGGCTGAGAGGAGACATGATAGCCATGTATAAAAATGTGAGAGGAAGTAATAAGGGAGGAGGGAGCAAGCTTGTTTTCTGCTTCCCTGGAGACTAGGACGTGGAACCGTGGCTTCAAACTACAAGAAAGGAGATTCCATCTGGACACGAGGAAGAACTTCCTGACTGTGAGAGCCGTTCAGCAGTGGAACTCTCTGCCCCGGAGTGTGGTGGAGGCTCCTTCTTTGGAAGCTTTTAAACAGAGGCTGTTTGGCCATCTGTCAGGGGTGATTTGAATGCAATATTCCTGCTTCTAGGCAGGGGGCTGGACTGGATGGCCCACGAGTTCTCTTCCAACTCTTTGATTCTATGATTCTATGATTAAACCTATTCCACACTAAATCAAGTTAAAGCTCCATTTCTAAGCCGAAGAGCCAGCGTTGTCCATAGACACCTCCAAGGTCATGTGGCCGGCATTACTGCATGGAGCGCCGTTACCTTCCCGAGAGAGCGGTACCTATAGATCTACTCACATTTGCATGTTTTCGAAGTGCTAGGTTGGCAGAAGCTAGGGCTGACAGCAGAAACTCATGCCGCTCCCTGGAATCGAACCTGCGATTCGATCAACAAGGTCAGCAGCTCAGCACTTTAACGCTGAGTTGTTATTTATAAACAACGCTGAGATGTTGTTTATTCTGTATGTATTGGTGATGTTACGGGAAACTGCTCTGAGTCCCCTCAGTGAGATAGAGTGGTATATAAACAACCTGGCTGCTGTCCATTGGACCATTTGAAGCTTCCAGACAGTCTTCAAAGGCAATCCCATGTAGAGCGCATTGCAGTAGTCTATACGGGATGTTACCAGAGCGTGGCCAAGTCAGGCTTCCCAAGGTACAGGTGCAGCTGGTGCACAAGTTTTAGCTGTGCGAATGCTCCCCTGGTCACCACTGAAACTTGGTGTTCCAAGCTCAGCGATGAGTCCAGGCATGGCTGGACTATAAATCCTATCATCCTCATGAAGCTCAATACAATAAAATGACATGCAGCCAGTTCAGGAGACTGCTTGTTTCTTACCTCTGCCTCCTCCCAAGACATTGGGATGGTGAAGAAGCCAAAACAGCTTTTCTTGTGAGCCAGCCAACCACTGGGGCAGCTGGGAGGTGCGGCTGAGGCTGGAAGGTGAAGAGGAAAGGATTGTTTGGAGCAACACAGCATTCGATAGTCAATTTATGAATGGAATAAATCACCAGCAGAACCATTACAATGCTTTAATCATTCATGCATTATATTTCTTGCTTTTATCCAGTATGGTATAATGCTATGGTCCAATGCTATGTTATCCTGAGAGCTGTAGTTTTATATGATCTTTGGCCTTGACTCTCAAAGAGTTCTGGTGCCTCACCAAACTACAGCTCCCAGAATCCAGAGCATTGTGACACAGCACTTAAATTGGGGTCAAACTGCATTCATTCGACAGTGTAGACACAGCCCAAGTTTCAAATACAGCCGTTGAATCCATTGGATTTACCCTTACGTTGACACACCATTCAAGGATTGATTCAACTGATGAATTCTACTTGGGTGACGTCTCCAAAGGTTCCTTGGCAGTCCTCCTGGGCTTGGAGAAGCTGCTTCTGGTTGGACTGCAAGCAAGCTATTTTGCTTGGCTCTTCTAAACCAAGATTTGCAGAGCTCATTGAGGACCTACCTGGTTGAAAAAGGAAGACAACCCATAGACCCAAAAGGGAGAGATAGGAGGATGAGTCCAGCCCCATCAGCACCTGGGGAGAGGGAAGAAAGAACCAAGAAGTAGTTGGAAGAAAATGTAGGCACTCTATTTGGACAGATTGTGTAAGGAGCATCGAACTGTTCTCTGCAATTGAGAAGTCCTGATGTTTACTTAAGTGGCAACAGGAAACTATCAGCAGGCATCCTATTGGTTAATCCGAAATAGAATGGATCCTTTTGATCAACTGTTGAATCATGAATCAACCTACAAATGCATCCATTTTTAAAAGCTCTTTCAACGATGCTTCTAGACTGTAGAATGAATCCCATGGCTTAATGCTATGGGACCTGGGACATGTAGCTCTACAAGGCCTTTCATTTTCACTCCCAAAGAGTGCTGGTTCCTCATCAAACTACAAATCCCAGGACTCCAGAGCACTAACCCATGGCAGTCAAAGTGGGGTCCAATTGCATTCATTCTACAGTTTCGACAGCATCCCTAGAATAGTGGTCCACAAAGTGACATCAGCTATTGCATGCTTCTCCTGTCAGACTGTAGGATCGATATAGCAATATTAAATAACCACTCACAGGCCGTTTTGCTTTGAAATGGATATATTGCTTGTATCTCTGCAGCAAAGAAAGACACTACTGACTTTTTCCCACCACCACTTCCTTTTATACACCTTTCCTGCCCATCTCCCCCTCTTCTCAGTTTCCTTATTAGAACTCGTTGCTTCACAAGTTCCAATACAAGATTTCGAGTGCTCTTTGCTGGCTTCAAAATGTCACAGAGAGATAATTGAGTCAGCCTGGATGATTCAGTCAGGATGTCACGGAGGGAATTTGTGATGTCTTCATGCCGTCAGAAATTGACTCCTGACATCTCCATGAAGAACTTCCAGAAAATTGTGTGGAAATGAGAATCATATGACACAAATGAGACCCACTCTCTGGCACATCAAGGGGGAAAATGTGGATTCTTGAGGACTGCTTTTTACAAAAATGGTGCAAACCCTTGAAAAACTGCACTGACTAATTCCATTTCTAATCAATTAAAAATTATTCTCTACGTGGAAAGTTATACTGCGTATTAACAGAATAACTTGCAATATCCTAGAGAGCTGGATGGCGTTATATTTACATATGGGGTTGGGATCTTGTTGCTTAGTCCAAGTGGAAATGGGTTCAATTGTTAAATGGAGAGTCAAATGTGATCATCAGGACAGCTGGATTGGGTCCAGTTCAACTTGACCAATGTTGGAGAAACGGATGGATCAGTCTTGGGTCCTATCTGCATTGCCATTGAACTGCATTATATAAATCTATACTGAACTATGTTGAAATGGATTATATGATTCTACACTGACCATATAATGCAGTTTCATACTTTATCATATGGCAGTGTAGATGGGGCTTTGATTTGTCTTAATGGTCTGGATACCAAATGAAAGTTTTGGTGGCCACCATCATAGTCAACCCAAGGCCACTCTAAACCATAGTAGTAACACTACTACTATGACTACTATTACAAATAGAACCCTAGAAGTGAAAGAAACCAAAATATGAAGACCACTCACTCACACGTCTTCCTTTCCTTCTCTGTTCAGCTTTTCTAGTGACAACTTCTTTCTCTCCTCTGAGGACAAGATGTTTTCCAAGGACACTTATAGACTTACTGCCAGGGCATGTCATGTACCTTGTTTACAGGTATCAAAAAACAGAATAGCTTGACCCCAAAATCAGAAATAATGTTCACCTGAAAATCCCAGTAGGCGTCCCTCAAAAGTCACCAAGAAGTACAAACAAGCTGGACACCGTGGGTGGAATCTTTAATGCCATATCCCCTTTCTTCTAAACTTATCTGAGATTATTCTGCAAGATATCTGTTAGGCAAGGAGTATGAGTGGGAACAAAGAAATGTCCCGAGGTTACATTAGGGCCACTTCGCATAGCTACAATAGCTCAGAGAAACCATCAAGGAGGACTTGGAGTCTCAGATGTTGGAAGAAAAGTGGGATGGACCTTCACCCTCAACTGATTGAGGTCCCTCCATGGACCTTCACCCTCAACTGATTGAGACTTCTGTTGTGCTTCCTCAAAGACACAATAGTGAGCACTGTTGGTGCATGTGTATGTTCCCTCACACATACATAGGGTTATGCACCAACAATGCATTGCCCACCACTGTTTTGTATCCAGACCATTAAGATGAGTGAAGGCTCCTTCCACACTGCCATATAATGTCTTTGAGGGAACACAAAATAAGCTCTCCACAAGTAGGGGATGAAGGTCTATGGACATCCCAGCCTTCAACTTTTGTAGTTTGTAAGTTTTAGCAATTGTGTAAGGAATGCAACCACCACAATCACACATTTTTCATGATAGGCCTAAACTGGATTGTTAATCCCATCTAGACAACAACAATTGATTCAACCATGGAATCAGCTTATTGGTTTAAAAGCCATACAACATTAAATTGAAGGCTTCTACTCTACCTGGAATCCAGTTCTCTAGCTCTCTAGCTCCACAGCCATGGATGGTGTCAATGTTCTCAATGTCTAACTTCCTTCACTCGGTTTGCAGAAACAACCACAATGCTTTCCCTACAGGACAATGGGACCACATTGTGTCTCATCTACACTTCCATAATAGTGCAGGTTGAACTGGATTATGTAGCAGTGTAGACTCATGTAATCCAGTTCAAAATGCATTACACGAGTCAACACTGACAATATATTACAGTTCAAACTGCACTATATGACAGTGTAGATGGGGCCTGAGTTGCAAAATGTTGATGGTCAACCAATAGTAGCTTTGATTTTCAACTTATAATCTCATTTTGACTGATTTATTTCAACGGCAGAGGTCCACGGAGGTTGAGGGTCAATGATGGTTTCACATGACGCCCTCAGTGTTACATGCAAGCAATAGGATGAACCCAAAGACTGCCAAAATCTCATCTCTAAGTTGGGAATATGATTTTTTTTGTCATGTCAGGAGCGACTTGAGAAACTGCAAGTCACTTCTGGTGTTAGAGAATTGGCCATCTGCAAGGACGTTGTCCAGGGGATGCCCGGATGATTTTATGTTTTTACCATCCTTGTGGGAGGCTTCTCTCATGTCCCTGTATGAGGAGCTGGAGCTGATAGAGGGAGCTCATCCGCCTCTCCCTGGATTCGAACCTGCGATCTGTCGGTCTTCAGTCCTGCCGGCACAGGGGTTTAACCCACTGCGCCACTGGGGACTCAATGGGAATATGATGAAGGTATGGGACATTGTGGCCTAGTAGTGGTTTGAGGAATGGACTATGATTCTGGAAACAAGTGTGTCATAAATACTTTTCAAACATTAAAAAGCATTAAGAAGGTTCTTTTATTTCATTCACAATGAGACAGAATATGCCACAGAGCGATAGAGAGAAAGTAGATATATGTAGACTCTAGCTACACAAATGAGGGGAATTACATTTTACTCAGCATTCACACACATATTCATTCAGCATCAAGTGTACATTAGTGCCTCTTCTTCCTTCCTCTGAAAAAGAGACCTGCATGTAGGCCAGATTGCATTCCCAGCAAATCTAACATTCTGTGAATATACCATCTTCCGCTGTCTCTTGGAGAAGATCGGCAGGTGGACCAGACTCCTCTGGTCTGCCACAATTTTGGAATATTAGAAGGTCTCTTATATAGCAGTATTTCTTGCTGGTATTCCAATTGTCTTTGTAAATGACTGACAGCTGTTTTTCCAGCTAAAGCATGTTGACTCCTATCGGTTCCTGGAAAGATGTTGATTTTGCCTCCTTAAGTGACAATTGCTTTTACTCCTTAAATAAGAAGAATTGTTTGGGTTGTTGTAGGTTTTTCGGGCTGTATGGCCATGTTCTAGAAGCATTCTTCAACTCCGGCCCAATTTACCTGTCTGAACGTATCCTCCCTTATGAGCCAACAAGATTACTAAGACTGTCTGGAGGGGCCCTGCTCTCGATCCCACCGGCCTCACAGGCGCAGCTGGTGGGGACGAGAGACAGGGCCTTCTCAGTGGTGGCCCCTCGACTCTGGAACTCCCTTCCACTGGAGATCAGAACTGCCCCTTCTATCTTAACGTTCAGGAAACAGGTGAAAACTTGGCTTTGGGATTGGCATTCGACGAATGAGCCATGATCCTGTGATATGGATGGATGACAACGAATAATGATTTTTGATGATGACTGACCACTGTAATCATATGACTGTATTTGCTATTTTAATGTTTTAGTGTGATTTAGAATATGATGTTTTAATGACTGTCTGTAATATTGATGTTGGAAACCGGCCTGAGTCCCTCGAATGGAGGTGAGAAGACCGGTATACAAAAACGCTAAATAAATAAATAAATAAATAAATAAATTCTTCCTGATGTTTCACCTGCACCTGTGGCAAGCATCCTCAGAGGTTATGAGGCTTGCTTCCTTCTTAATGGAAGGAACCTTGCAAATACTCCCTTACTTAAAGAATCATTGTCTTTGGTAATGTAAACACATTGTTTTCCACCAAGAGTTCAATAGATAATAATTTCTTTCTGGTCATCAACAGTTCAGCAATTTTTCATAACAGTTCATGAATTCTTCACCTCCTTCTTGTGGTTTTCCAGGATTCAATCTTTAGGATGGCATCTCTAGCCTCTACAGGTCCTTAATCATACAGCTTTCATACAATTCTATTCAAACCATACGTCATATTGATCCATGACAATTGTTTGATTCCCTGCTCTACTATGGAAACCCACTGGGTGTCCTTGGGTAAGTCGAATTGTTTCTTGGGTAAGTATGGCCTGCAATCCTAGACTTACAATCATACAGCCCCATAGACTGTCTGTGAGTCTGTCTATAAATATCTTGTGTCAAGGCCAGGACCTCTAATTCAAGATAAAGTATACAACAGTCCCAGGTCAAACCAAATAGGTCACAGAAATGCCAAATAAAAGGAGGAGGGAAAGCCAATTTTCCAGTCCAGGGCCAAGAGCCAATTGCCAGAAGTTCAATCAACAAGGATGAGCCCACAAGCCCAGAGTTGATGTCCAAGACCAGTCCAGAATCCAAATGTTCATGTGAGTTCAACATTCCAAGGTCTTGGCATGGATACTGAAGTTGCAGATACATACTCCATACTCTTAAATGCTACTTTCACAGGTGATCCCCGTTGTCGGCCCTCTTCTCAGTAAGCCTCGAGGATCTCCTCAGCTGAGACTTTTGTCTCCTTCCTCCCCCAAAGACAGGAACAGCCAGCTCTTCCTCAGCCTGCTCAATCGAAGTCTCTGGTGTTTGCTCAGTAGACTGAGTGTGTTTACCCAATAGACCTCACAATCTCTGATCTCTGAAAACATCAGGATTCAAAACGATCTTGACAGATTAGAGAGATGGGCCAAAACTAACAAAATGAAGTTCAACAGTGACAAATGCAAGATACTCCACTTTGGCAGGAAAAACGAAATGCAAAGATACAGAATGGGGGATGCCTGGCTCGAAAGCAGTACGTGTGAAAAAGATCTTGGAGTCCTCGTGGACAACAAGTTAAACATGAGCCAACAATGTGATGTGGCGGCAAAAAAAGCCAACGGGATTTTGGCCTGCATCAATAGGAGCCTAGTGTCTAGATCTAGGGAAGTCATGCTACCCCTCTATTCTGCTTGGTTAGACCACACCTGGAATATTGTGTCCAATTCTGGGCACCACAATTGGAGAGATATTGACAAGCTGGAATGTGTCCAGAGGAGGCGACTAAAATGATCAAGGGTCTGGAGAACAAGCCCTATGAGGAGCGGCTTAAGGAGCTGGGCATGTTTAGCCTGAAGAAGAGAAGGCTGAGAGGAGATATGATAGCCATGTATAAATATGTAAGAGGAAGCCACAGGGAGGAGGGAGCAAGCTTGTTCTCTGCTTCCCTGGAGACTAGGACGTGAAACAATGGCTTCAAACTACAAGAAAGAAGATTCCATCTGAAGATGAGGAAGAACTTCCTGACCGTGAGAGCCGTTCAGCAGTGGAACTCTCTGCCCCGGAGTGTGGTGAAGGCTCGTTCTTCTGAAGCTTTTAAACAGAGGCTGGATGGCCATCTGTCAGGGGTGATTTGAATGCAATATTCCTGCTTCTTGGCAGAATGGGGTTGGACTGGATGGTCAACGAGGTCTCTTCCAACTCTTTGATTCTATGATTCTATGATTCTAAATAAATGTTTACCCATCTCCCATGATTCCATATCACTGAACCATGGCAGTTGAAGTGGTGTCAAACTGCATCAACTCTATAGTGTAAATGAGAGCTTGGATGAAACATCCTGATTTCAAACTTTCTTGAGCGCACAGCTGGTTAGAAATGTCTGCCATCTATTGACTGAATATGATATTGCATGGTCCACGTGGATTCTCCTACATTCATTGACAATGGGTTTTAAAAGTGACCCCAAAGCACACTCCAATGCCATATTTAAGTTGAGTCAATTCCAAGTACTTTTGGTTGATGGGATGGAAAGTTAAGCCAGTTTTTAATCCCACGGAAAGTCAAGTTATATATTAATGTACTTTAGGCTAATGTTTCCAAAAATTTAATAATCTGATCACAATATCTCAACGTTGCCTTAGCTCCCTGGAACATGAAGATCTTTCCTGTTATAACAATGTTCCCTGGACAGGAGGCACAAGATGGGAGTGTTAACATTTTAGGGCATATTTAGACAGGGTAAT